TACTTGATTTGGAAGCTGCAGAATCTGTTTTTTACAAGTTGAAAGGCAAAATTCATTGGCTTTAGGATGGCGACTTGAGTACTAGATTTTTCCACTTGACAATTGAAGGAAACTATGAGAGAGACACTATTAGAGTAATTAAGAATGAGAGTGAGAACAGATTGAAAACTTTTGATGTTATGTCATCTTGGTTGATTAGATTCTATATTGATGTTATTGAGACTACTAACCCTAGTGTTAAAGGCTACTTAATGAATTGTCTTAAGGGATTATTGAATTACTCTTTGTCGGTTAGTGCAGAGGATGAGCTAGGCAAGGTGGTCTTTGATTCTGAAATAAAAAAAAGGCTTTGTTTAGACAGGGGAAAGACAAGAGCCTTGGTCTGAATGGCTATACAACTTGGTTTTTCAAAGTTGCTTGGGATATTGTCAAAGAGGATTTTTTTGCTACAGTGAGGTACTTATTTCAAGTTTCTTCATTGTTGCCTGCTTTTAATGCTATTGTAATTTTTCTTATCCTTAAAGCTTTGAATTATTGTATGAAAAAGGAGTTTAGGCCAATTTTGTGTTGCTCTATGGTTTATAAAACCATCACTAAGATCCTTGTTAATATACTTGCATGTTATTTCCCTGGTATAATTTCTACTAGTCAATCTACGTTTGTCAAGGGTAAAAACATTGTTGATAATACCTTACTTGCCCAAGAGCTTGTTAAGGGCTACGCAAAAAACATTTGACTCTTTTAGCTGGGAGTTTTTTTTTGTTGTTCTAGAGTCTATGGATATTCCTGATGTCTTTTTTGGGTAGATAAGAGCCTGTGTCACTACCCCTAGGTACTCGATCTCCTTAAATGGAAGCTTGGTGAGATACTTTAAAGGTGAAACAGGGGTTAGGCTGGGTAACTCATTGGGGAAGATTAAGGAGAAGCTTGGTAAGTGGTAAAGCAACAGCCTTAGTTATGGAGGTCGTTTGTAACTTATTAAGGTTGTTATCTTCAGTATTTTTAATTATTGGAGCAGACAATTAATCTTGCCTAAGTCTATGATTTCGAAAATTGAGAAGCTTTGTATGAGATTCTTTTGGAAGGGTAATGATCTTCCTGCTAGGGGAGCTCGAGTAAGTTGACACTATGTTTGCTCATTGAAGTTTGAAGGGGGTTGGACTTAGAGAGTCTTTCTAAATGGTCGATTTGGGATTACTATGTATGGTGTGTGGTCTGTGTGCTATTGATAAAGAGTCTAGAAATAATATTTTTCTGACTATTCCTACTCTAGGGGGTTTGGGGGAAAGTTATGTGAACTTGTAGTTTAATGCATGGGCTTATTTGCTGGGAGGATAACCTTTAGTGGGCAGTGGACAATTTGATGGATAATTTTTTTCTTGTTCGAATCCTTAAGTTGACTTAGGCATAATTTTCGTATTGTATTTGGGAAAAGCGTAATCATAGACAGTTTAGAGATACTAGACACTTAATTGTTGACTGTATAAAAGAAGCAGTTATGATTAAACTGTATAGGCACTATATAAACAAGTGTTGGGATTTATGAAGCTCAAATTGACAACAAAAAATAATTTGCCTAAAAGGGGTGAATTGACAATTTAAAAATTAGGGAGAAAATGAGTAAAAGGATAAGGAAATATGTACAACAATTTATAGTGGTTCAACTTATCAACCAAGTCTACATCCACTACCTAAGCTCCTCACTTAGGATTTTCCAATAAATTCACTAATTTGTTCTTTCTTTTTCACATGATAAAGAGATAACCTTTACAACTCCCTAGTTTTTCAATTGCCTAAACTAGAACCAAACCCCTTTTACAAAAGGAAAATTAATGTAAACAAGAAAATCCCTCTAAGGTAGGTGTTTACAAATTGAAGCTCACAATAACAAAAAATATTTATAAGAGAAATGAAAATAAGAATGAAAACTCTTCTCTTGTGTTTGATTGCTTGGATAGGTGTTCTTTAACCTTCTTCAAGTGTCTTGAACTTGTATTTATATGTTGGAATGTGTTTGTGGCCGTTTCTAGCCGTTGGGAGTGATTTGGAGCCGTAGAGGATGTTTTCTCTACAAAATAAAACTGCCCAGTACAAGGAGTATCGGTACTCCTTTGATGAATATCGGTAGTTCCTTTAATATTTTTAAATAAAACTAGTTGTTACTAGTCGTTGTTCCTGACGATATCGATACTATACTCATGGTATTGATACTACTATGTAAAGTAGTATCGATACTTCTCTATGAGTATCGATACCTATTTTTCATTCTGGAATTTGAGCAAGCTGGTAGTATCGATACTACCTTGAGAGTATCAATACTTCTCTTACCTTAGGTATCGGTACTATATGAATAATATCGGTACTATTCATATAGTATCGATAATGTAAGAAAAGTATCAGTACTATGTACATTGAAAATCAGTTTTGTGCTCAAATTCTAGTTTAATGGACTTTGAATTATTTTTGAAAATTTTAAATAAATTTAATTCAAGTCCAAAAACATTTTACTTTAAATTGTTATATCAAAACATATTAAAAAGTGGTTCAACAACAAGAATGATAGGGTAAATATGCAGTTGTGCATTGATTGGGGAATGTTGTAGGGGAGTTCGTATGTGTAATTGTTCTGGTTTGTAGCAGTTTGGCTGCTTTATTGAAAGTCTTACTTAAAAAAAAAACACCATCATCTCATCCGATAAATTAATCAATAGTTGATAATTTTTTATTATTTTAATTTGATAATTTTAATTACCAGATGAAAAGTACTCTCAGTGATAAAAAAGTTAGATCCACTTAAAAGTTTGCATATTCAATCTGTTAAAATATTAATAACACTTAAAATCATTAAAAAAACTGTCTATTACAAATTTATTCTTTAAATGTTTACTTTCTATTACTTTCATATTTGGATTATGTATATTTTAGTTGTTGACTTTGTGATTAGGACCCTTCTTTTTCTAATTAGGTAATTTTAAAATTTAAAGTCCTTGATTATTTTATTTAAAATTAGAATATCACTATCAGTTGGGTAAAGAAAATATTATTATATCACAAGAATCCAATATGAAAAAGAAAACATTTAAATACTTTTAAAATATAATATAAATATATGAATATATCAAGATTTACATAAGAATATAAAATACTTCAAACATAATGTAAACATATAAAATAAAAAGAATACAAATAGGATAAAAAAATTTCTTTTAAGATAATGACAAACGTTCATATCTTTCTAAAGCTATTAAAAAATAGAGGTCAAGAATGACGAGGGTGGAAGGATAAAATGGCAGAATTACTTTTTTATCTCCAAATTTTATTAATTTAATTTTTAAGATAAAAAATAAAAATAAATACTTAAAATAATAATTACCTCTTTAACCATTAAAATTGTTCAGTTCGTATACATTTAAACAAGTTTTAGAATATTTTATTATTATCTCAAAAATAATTAAACTAGATGATAAGGAGAATGTTACACGGGAAACAGTGAGGCAGGCAAGGCCAGCTAATCCCGAAAGCGAAATTTGTTTGAAATTTTGTAAGAAAATTGATTCCAACAAATTATAAATTGTGGCTTCAAATTCGACCTTTGTATTTGTATCTTCTTGGAAGGGGTTGGTAACGATTAAGATGTTTGTATTTTTTAAAATCTGATAGAAATTTAGGGTTCGCATAAATATTTTAAACTTAAATTCCTTTTATATTAAATTTAATTATTACTATTTAAATTTAATAATATTATTCATTAAATATTTCAATTATAAAATACTCAAATCCTGTCCTTAGGATTATAAACTGAAATTAAAATGAATATGAATAGATACTTAAATATTCGTTATTGAATTGTTATGTACATATAGATAGATAGATAGATATAAAAAAATTATTTTAAATAAAAAATATATTTTTTTTAAAAACTTTGATAATTAAAATTTTAAAAGATCAGAAAAAATAATGTTATAATATGTCTCAATTTGTGCTTGGATGCTTCCTGTAGAGGGCTTTAGTCCAACTGTTAGATACCTAAATTTTACGGGTACCTGGTTTTAATGAGCCAGAACAAGCTTGACATTTTAAAACCTAAAAATCTCAGATACTCGAAATTTTGAATACCCAAAAAATATGGGTGTCCGATTATGCACACCAGTAATGTCAAGTCATCAAACATATAATGGTTTAACATCCCTAGTTAGCTTTGTTACGGGTAGACATTTCTCTTCATCTTTACAGCCACAGTGCCTGCCTCTTGGCCGAAGGTCAAATCTTCCACCGCCTCCTTTGCAACCACGCCTGGAACTTTCTACCATTTTATTTCTTTCATGAGGAGCTAGAGCAAGAGGAAGAGTGTAATGGTTTTATGAGCTATGTCTTGAAAATTTGGGCTTAGGAGAACACAAGTGAATCATTCTGATTAAGAATTTTAATGGTGTAATTCTGTTCTCCGTCCTTATACTATTGACAATTTAAAATTTAGACCCTCTACTTTTAATTCAAAGATATTGATTCATATACTTTTTTTAAAATTGCATTTGCTTAGTCGATCTTTCACGCATTTAATTCTGGTGATATCAATTCTACTTCAATTATTAAATGAAAGAATAGAGAACTAAATTTTAAATGTACAAAAAGTACAAGGATTGTGAGCACAATTAGACCTTAGTTCCGTGAATGAAATTAACAAAACATTTGATTGAGTGCATAAATATACCAACCTTGGAGATGGAGATGAATGAAAGCACGTTTTGTTGATGTTCTTGCCTGATGCTCTTCTCTTTGCAGGCTTCAATAATGTTTGTCTCTTCAACCAAGCTTGCCACCCCTGTCAAAACCACTTGCCTCAACATCAAATCCAAGGAAAATTGTCAAATTACCACTGTAAAAATCTGCACAATTCACTTCAATAAAATAAAATAAAATGCTCATGATATAACAACTCCTTTCTTATATCTTAATGTTCATGTAGCTTTCCAAGTATATGCAGACAAATATATTGTTAAGTACACTTAAACACTATACGTTATATGCGGGAACAAAGAAGGCAATCACTTCAATAACTACTTGGCTTCTCCAAAGACCTGAAAAACCCAATCATATGGTCATATATATCCCTATTTGCTTTTATGCTCAAAAGGAAGTCTATGTGGCCGTAGTTCTCAAGATAAAGCAACTCTGGCTTGGATGACAATTCCTCAAGAGTGCGCTGCACATCGGTTGTGTCTGCTAAGCCATCGTTCCCTCCATAACTCATCCATAACGGCAATGATTTTGGTATGCTGTTGAGATCGAATGCTGGGGGTTTGAACTGTCCATACGTCAGTAAGTTTTTCAGGATTCCATAATCATAATGGGAAAAAGTACCCTGACGGATCACTGCCAATTAAAATGAAAAAAGTTTTAGCAAAAGAAATCATATTCAATCAACATATATTCAAATGAAATCTAGCACATGCAAGAAAACATTAAGAAAGGTTACAGTCTGAGAAAACGTTATGCTTATTTTAGCCGCTAATTATCCAGAATGAGGAATTCGTCATGTAGTAACTCCATTCAGGTTGGTTAAACATTCAAAGAAATAAAAACAGAAGGCAACTGAAACAAGGTATATGGAAGCATACTCTGGAAAAGATGGCGTAAGTTCTTCACAGATGATGGGTGTGGTTCGTATTCCAGATAGAAGTTTATGCGGGATTTATTGAAGCAGCAATTTTCCCCTGCAATGTTGTCTTGTCAAATCCCCTCCAGTAAAAGTATAATTCAAACATTTTCAACATCTGTACCAATTCTTTTAGTTTTAGAGTGCATGTTAAACCAATTTATAAAGTCAACATTTAAAAGCTTCTCTTGAAGCCTAAAAATTTATGCAACCCCAGCAAAAATAAATGACATCTGTTCCAGACATCAAGTCAGGAAAAGAACACAATCCTCTATTATGTATTATATGGCTTTAAAACTTTACACCCAGCCATTTTTCAACTCAATGTAGCACACTACCTAAGTTAAATCTGAAGCGAGTGCATGAAGCAGCGCGTATAATGCAATTTTAAGGAAAATTCAACTTTCAAGAGAAGCATAAAATGAGCAATATTAACAAATCCTGAAACTTTGATCTAGATCACTTATACAGCTTATTGCACGAAAAGAAAATTGCAACAAAAAGGGAACAGTATCCTGAACCATAAAAATAATACATATTTGTTTGCATATGTATACTGATATCTCTATCTGTGTGTGTAAAGAAGAGAAGAAAACCTGTAATAGAACTTAGAAAATCAGTACAATCCACTTGGCCATCACATAGAGACTCCACAAGGTTAACCAACGCATCGCTGCAGTTAAAAATAAAAACTCGTAATGCAAGTAAGCCGCTAAATCAACAAAAAGGCTAATCAGCACCTTCATAACAGTGAAGAAGAGGATAAACAGAAAAACTAAAGTGAGGTATTAAAAAACCTTCTGAAATTCAATTGATGCAACCCCAAAGCAAGCACTATCTGCAGGAAAAGAATGTCTAAGAACATCATATGCCAAAACCAATTTTACTGGATAAAACAACAGCAGTGACAAGTTATACCTGATCAAGATGCATTGCAACCATTCTAAGTACAAGTGGTGCGCTGACATGTTCTAAGTAAGATATTGGAGACAAAAGAGCAGCAGCTTCAACCATTTCCACTATGTCCGGCTGAGTGAGAGCAGCCAAAGACATTATTGTTCCCTGTCAGTAAAAGCATAGGTTAGGTAACCTAAAATGGTAACGAGAAAAAGCCAGGAAAATCATGCACTAGGTATATTATAAAGCATCCAGGACCTGTGAATGTCCAACAATAAAGACTTTAAAACTTGCGACTGCATGTATGTAGTGCAACATTTCCGCAAGATCATATAAAGCTAATTCCTGCCAGCTCCACTCCCAAAATTCCTGCAAGAGCCACATTGCAGAGTGAGAGGAGATAATACAAACCGTGGAGATAACTGAAGAAGATTCATTAATGAATGAAGAAGAGGTTTGGAATGCTACCGGCCAACCTTGATACAGATTTTATTAGAATATTAATGCAACTTGATGGTAGGGTACACTAAACAAAAAGATGCACTGGAATTGAACATAAGCCGCATGGATGTCAAACTCATAAAACACACACAGCCAACTAAGTTGGATGCACAAATTGCAAATTGCAAGAAAAGTTCAATGTTTGTGCATCCCATTTCTAAGGTTGTTGAAGTTTTCCACATTAAAACAGCCCAAATCCATAAACATTGAAAGATGAATTCTAGAAAACATAAAGAGGCATTAAGTATACAATTTGCCAACCTTATCTGTGTCTAAGAAAGATATGTGTCCATGACTCCATCTTGTTCCACGAACATTTCCGACCCATACATCAAAACCCTGGTCTGCAAGGATGAAGCCCAATCCCTGTTCAGTAGAATCCAAAAACCATGCATCACCTGCCTGTTTTGAATTGGAAAATGGTATCAGTGACAAAATCCTCTCCACTGTAAAACAAATACAAGCATATACCTCAAGCACATAAAAGCTTGCAAACAATCTCATTTAGTTGTTATTTATTGCAACAACCACTAGTTCTAGATTTTTTTCTTTAAAAAAATAGAAAAATGACATCTTTCTGCATGCATTTCCACGAAGAAGAAAAAAGGAATAGAGAAATTTCATATAAGCATATCAATAAATGAGCTTGGTAGGATCAATGCATATTAGAAGACCTTACATGAATAGTATCATAGTAGAAACTAATAGTAAAGAATAATATGTGAACTCTCCCTACTTGAAAAGGTAATTTTGGATAACTGGAGAAATTACCATGAATAATCCATGCTGAAGCAAAACAGGGTGACCTTGCTGAACTCTGAGATCACCAGAAGGAGATGAAACGCGCTGGAGAGCTAATAAATAGCCATCCTTGGTTTGAACCTAAACAAAAATAACAATAAGCCATAAAGTTAAAAGGAAACTTTACTTTGAATTACAAAACAAGAAAGCAACCAAAATCTAACTAGAGAACCCTAAAGCATTGAAGTAAAATTTGCCACAAATTATACTACAATTTTAACGAACACAAATTATTTCTAAAAAAATAAATAAATTTTATAAAAAGGGAATGAAAAAAAAGTATCAGAAAAAATTGCATAAACTAAAGACAACGGAATCAGGTAAAAATAGAAAGCAAATCCCGAGTGCTCGGAAACAAAAAAAACGCATATTTTCCTTCACTATTTTTTGTTCATTAGTTTGTTTATTTCGGTTTCTTAGCCGCCAAAAGAAATCGACAAGAATAATAGTGGAGAGAGAGAGAGAGAGTACAGTGTGTTCGGAGCAGATATAACCATTGGGCTCGATAAGCTGAGCGCAGAGAGAGTCGCCGGAGGAAGTAAGGCCGGGATCGGACGAATTTCCGGTGAAATCAGCGTCGGAAAGAACGAAAGAGAGAAAGAAGCAAAGAAACACCAGAAACTTGTCCATGGGAGTGAGCGCGACGGGACTGCCACACACTCACCTTATTATATTGGAGTGGCTGTCATGAATTTTAACCGTTGAATCTACCTCTTGTTTAATCTTTTCATTTTTTTAATTTATTTGTCTCTGAAATTTTACTCAGAACTTCTCTCATCTTTCCGCAGCAGATTCTTGTTTTGTTCTGTTTTGTACTATTGTCTCCCGTGATCCTCTGCTTTTTTTATAAATTAAAATTTTCAGAGTAAGGATTGTTTGTTTGCTTTTTTTTAATAGAATCATTTAGCGTTAAATGCTGAATCATTTAACATTCAATATGAAATTATGTTATTTAAATTATTGTAAAATTTTTTAAATTTTTTGGATTAGTTTATATTTTAATTCATATATTATTTATTTAATTAGACGTATTTCAACTATTGCTTTTGTAGATATAAAACTCTCAGTCTTTAAAACTCTCAAAATGACGCATATTTCAACTATTGTTTATTATGATGGAAAATTTCAGGAAGATGAAATTGGCGTCGTCTTCGCATCAAATTATTTTGTCAGAATATCCTTCAAGAGAAACATCACTCATGAGGAATTGATAACTAAAATTTCAAGGAAGGTTCATGTTGTAAGTACTAGAAGAATGTCTTCACTTCAGTACAGATTTCCAACCGTAGTATTTCTGTTAACTTATACAACATTTGAACTCTCCAACGATGACGATGTTGCTATGATGGTTGATTCTCGTAATCAATATTCAGAGGCTGATACACAGATATATGCAACATTTGTTGAAGTGCTTGTTCGTGGTATGTCATTATGCTCCCACTATGAGCTGGCCCAACAAGCTTGTAACACCCCAACCCGTATTCGACCCGAATATGAGTCCGATATGTCACATAAACCTTTCAAATCATTTACTTATATAAAATAGAGGAAAAACTTAAACTAAATTTAAACATACTAAATAATTTACATATATCGACTCAAAACGTTTACAAAACTATTCGGAGCTTATATAATTTAAACTTTTAAATACATGCCAACACTATATAATATAACAGGGAAACATACTGTTAATTCTTCTAATATGATCTTTGCAGAAGTTACGTTGTCTCCGCTGCCTATCTTCTCCTTGGAACTTCTCAGATCCTACGTGTGAAACACTCACACGCTAAGTCATAGACTTAGCAAAACATGTAAAAGAATAATAGAAATTATATCTACTTAACAAATGCATGTACATATCATGCAACACAAGGCTTATATACACATATAGATCATCATTAGCATACTTATCATTATCTATATTATTATCATTAATTTCTTTTATCATATGACATTGTACTTATCATTTCTATATTTATCATAAAACACATATATTATTTCACAAAGGAACACACATAGCATCATACCAAGTTTATTTATTTATTCTCTTTAAAGCCCATGTATACTTCTAAGAACTAAAGATATGTGAGTACATAGAGGTTGTGCACATATGTTGTTACCACAGCTCGTATAATTCCCAATATGGGCATATAAAGTTTTTCCCGAAAGACCGCGTAGATGTCCTGAATGACCACTCCTTAAAGATCACATATATATTCCAAAGGACCAAATATGTGTCCTGAAGAACCGCATATATGTTCCAAAGGATTACATATATATCCCGAAGGACCAAGTAGAACCCTCGACTCTTGGCATGCCAGCTATACCCCTAGCTCTCAATTCACATAACATGGGCATTATCATTATGTTTGTCATATATACACATTCATATCACATAGTCATATAATATTCTTGTAGAGTCTCATATCCCACTATCACATATATGTCATGTCACATTCTCTTGTATTCATATAAACATGTAATCACATATCACTTTCACAAATCTTTTGTCATCTATCTTATCTCAATTGATCACATAACTTATTATCACACATAGCTCATGGTCACATGATTTATCACACATACATGTATTCTTATAGATCACATATAGAAATGCACTTAACCTCTAAACATATGCATCTACTCAAGTACATCTAAGTATCATATCACTACATGCTTATATTCATGTACTCATGTAACCTAATATCGAAATTAGACTCATCACAAGTCTTAATTTTCTAACATAACGTACACTTAATATTATGTACTCACCTTGGTCTCACTGGACAATACCAATCTCTTGTTTCTCTTTTGAATCTTACTCTGACGGCCTATCTGAACTTTGCTTTTGATCGATATCTACATGAATATACAATCCAATGACTATCGGAATCGTAATACTCGAAAAGATTCTTGCCAATGCAAACTAAATAAAAAACCAATTTCTAATTTCCAACTTAAGTAGTATCGATACTACAAGTACAATACTGATACCTCTATGCTTGTAGTATCGATACACTTTTACGGTATCGATACCCATTTACGGTATCGATACCCATTTTCGATTCTGTAATTTTATTTCAAAAATGGTATCGATGCCTCTATATTGGTATCGGTACCCATGGTACCGATACTACCACTTCAGTATCGATACTCCATGAAGATTTATCACTCTTCTTCCTTATGGTATCCACACTGTTCATGCAGTATCGATACCCTACGCATAATTATCCCAAAAATTTACCTTGTAGTATCGGTACTCAATAAACCAGTACCGATACTACTAACCCAAAATATATTTCTTAAACCCAAAAACTCCAACACTTTACCCCAAACTCTACTTATTTAACTCTCTTCATGCTTTTAAGCTCAACTATATATACCTAAACCATCTTTTTGCACTATAACACCTCATCATCTTCAATATCTCACTATAATTCTTGAATTTAGGAATTTTACTAAACATTCAATGTGTTCTAAATTCGTTTCCAATACTTTAGACTTCTGAATCCTTCCTATGACATGTCAAATTTATCACTAAAACTTCAAAAACCTCTTCATACCAACAATTCATTTCTACACCCTTATTACAATTTCCTTTCTAATTCTTATATAAGCTTTCCTTAAGCTTATATAACACCCAAAGAACAAAAACTAACTTAGAAATTCAAGAAATAAACACATATACCTAACTCACCTTGAAATGGAGCCAACGGGAAGAACAAGAAGACAAGAAGAAATAAGCTTCCATATAACTCTCCCAATCCCACGTGCTTATCCCTTAATAAAGATGATAAAATATCCTTTAAGCTGAAAAGACAATAATACTCTTCATTCTTTCCATAATATACTAATCAATCTTACTCAATTAATTTCCAAATAAATCCTTGAACATTTAGTCACTAAAATTTTTTTGGGATGTTACAAATCTCCCCCTTAAGAAAATTAGTCCTCGAATTCACTTCACAACGAGATTGAGCAATCCTTTATATAATACTTAACACATCTTAGATTACTCTTACTACTAACCTTATACTCATATACATATAACCTTGATAGTTGTCATTACTTGCAAAAAAATCTGGTTTTAAACTTCTACTCATACTATATACCAATTCAACACAACTTATTCACTTGAAAACCATGCCCTACTAATTAATCTCTAACAGTTCATTACCTATCACTTCAAATCAAATCTTTCAATTCTCATTCTAATTGCAACTAGCATGTAACTATATTAATCCCAAATCTATAAAAACCAAAACTACTTTACCACAATATTGAAATTTACCTGCAATAATCTCTGGATCCTCAAAATCTTCATATGTCCTTAAATTATAAAATCATGCAATTAGATGCACATCGTGTTGAGTGGATGACTCATACTGATTTCTTCCACGACCTCTACCTATACTTCTTTGAGATACTGTAATAGATTGCTCTCTCTTTACAGTATCCTCATTAAAGAATGGACAATCTCGAATAAAATATCTCATATCACCACATTTAAAACAAGCTCATGAAACCACTCTACATACTCCTGTATAATTCTTTCCACAATGTGAACATTGCATTGATTGAATTAGATTTGATCTCTTAGTAGAAAATGTAGCTGATTCAAACATATCCTGAGTTTGAGAATCCACGTCTCTACTTCTCTTTGATGGCGATGAACTCGACCAATTCTCTTAGACTTATGGACTTTCACCTCTTTAAATATCTCATTCTGAGCTCTCTCTAGAGTTTTAGCTCGATTAACCACCTCTTGAAACGATGACAATTTCAAAGTTAACAACAACTCTTTTAATCTAGGGCGCAAACCCTCCACAAACCAATCACATACATCCTTTTCAGTCGGAATAAACTCGGTGGCAAAATGAATTAACTTATTAAACTCACATTCATATTCATAGACCGTATAATCCCATTGCTTCAAGTTTAGAAATTCTTGCTTCATTTGCCTATTAAACTGATCACCAATGTACTTGTGCTTGAATTATTCTAAGAAGAATGACTACGTCACTTCATCACTTCTTAATCTCATGGTGACATTTGTCCACCATACTCTAGCTTGACCACGTAACAACGAAATTATTCCATCTAATTTTTCCACTTCAAAGCAGTGGAGTTCATCTAACATTATCTTAACATAGTTCAACCAAAGATCCGCAGTAACAAGATCTTCCTCAGTTTCACCCTTGAACTCGGGTGCTCCTAAACCTTTCAATTCATTTGCTACATTAACTCTAGAAGTTGAGAGAGCATGAGGTTGAAAACGTGACAAAATAGTGTTTAACGTCCTGAAAAACAACCCTTGATCTTGTATTGGTACTATCGGAAGTGTTCGCTCTTCACCCTGCCTGGCCAGGGCAGGTAAATTGCTACTACCTTCAGGTCTATCACTTCTCCTTTTACTTCGAGAAATCTCACGATCAGACATCTAAGACATAACCATATAGCTCTATTAGAAGATAACATACTCATGACTTTATCAGATCAGAAACTTTCACTTTTTGTTAGCATATATACTTTTTAAAACACTTTTGACTTCGGTTTAAGCCTAAAATCGGCTAAACCTTAGCTCTGATACCATTAAATATAACACCCCCAACCCGTATTCGACCTAATACGAGTTTAAGATGTCACATCAACCTTTCAAATCAT